AGAAAAATAAGGTTACGGGGGAAGGTCTGTTTAATGTTGAGATAAATAATATTTAAGTAATGTAATGTTGAGGCTTGTGGGGCAATCTCGCTAAATTGTCAAGAAATCAGCAATGTGGCAGTGCTTTTGGTGACATGTTGGTTTAGTCCCTGTATAACTGTAATTGATCCTTATATGTAGCTGTAACGGTATCCAGTACTTACGAGGTAGGATTCAAAAGTTTCTGGACTGAGTCTATAATGTAAAAAATATTATGAATTAAATTGCAGAAACACATCCTCCTTCAAAATAAGACCCTTGCGCAACAACACACTTTTGCCAGTACCTTTTAAGTTCATCAAAGCATGTCTGGAATCCATTTTTTGCCATGTCCTTTAATTCAGCCTGCGATGCACGTTTAACTTCATATGAAGATTGAAATCTGCAAGTGTCTTGCCAATTCAGGAAATGGGAAGAAATTGCAGGGTGAGAGATCAGATGAGTAAGGAGGATGAGGCAAAACAGTTGTTTGTGTTTTCGCAAGAAAGTCATTGACGAGTAAGGATTGTGGAGCAGGTGCATTGTCATGCAACAGTGCACCGGTGACTGCTCAGCCCACTTTTTTTATCTCTTCTTCCAGATCAACTCGCACAAACAATTCAGGAGTTCTTTGTTCACAGTGCATCCTTTAGGGATAAATTCCTGATGCACAATGCCCTGAATATCGAAGAATACCTCTAACATGACCTTTCCTTTAGAGCGATCTTGGCAGAATTTCTGCTTCTTTGAAAATTGTGGTGATTTCCACATTACTGATGCTCTTTTGGTTTGCGGCTCGTACAAAAAACACCATTTCTCATTTCCAGTAACAATTCTGCCAAGTAGGGAAGGATCTTTGTCAACAGCCAAGATTAAGTCTCCTGCCATTTCCATTTGAATTCTTATTTGGTCTATGTTTAGCATGCAGGGAATGATGTGATGACACACCCTATGCATGTTAAGATCCTTAGTCAATATCGGCTGACATGTGGCCTCTGATATCCCAATTGATTCTGCTATTTTGCAAATTGTTTGCTGCATATTCACACATACCGCCGCAGACACTTTTTTTATGTTTTCATCGGTGCGCAAAGTCACAGGGCCGCCACAGCATTCGTCGTCTTCGGCACTTTCCCTGCCTTCTCTGAAACAATGATGCCACTTGAAAGCTTGCATTCTCAATAATGCCGTACACATGCTTCAACTTTTCGAAAGTCTTCGAAGACTTTTTCCCAAGCGAACACAAAATTTGGTATTGGTTCTTTGCTCAACTGACGACATTTCTTCCTATCGCCGGTTACTAAATGCAGCTGCGTACAAAAAATGCTGTCACCTCAAGTTTTCGAACTACGTGATTTGGGACAAACCAGTTTTAGAAAAGGGGAGAATGTAGTAACACAAAACCATTCTCGTAGTCACACTACTAAAAAAAATTTTTACGGTATAGACTCAGTCCGTGAACTTTTGAATTCTACCTCGTATGTAAATTTAACAGTGTATGCCTTCCAGTAATTTTGAGAAATGGAAGGTAGTAGAGATTACTCTGCAGCCAGTGGGAAACTGTGGGAAGACCGGCAAGAGTATCATTTCCCAGTTTTTAGTTGAGAACTTTGAAGTATTGAGAGATGATGCAAGCTTCTCTGTTTGGATGCGCTTTGCACTGTGTTGTATGTAACATTATAAGTAGTTTGAAATAGTAACTACTTACTCTATTATACCAAAAAGAGCTGTATGAGTACTTTCGTGAAAAGTTCTAAATCTGTAAAATGTTTCTTTTTTGTTAAAATTAATTTTATCAAGCTATCATTGGTTATATGTGCATTCAATCCATTATGAACATGTACACACGCAACAATATTTTTCCTACTGATGTTGGTATTTCAGGTCTTCAACCAAGGATGAGATGATGCAACATCACCAAACTGGGGGGTGGGGCGAACCTGCTATTGATGATATATGTGCGCAGCTAAAGAAAATGTACCCCATTTTGTAATTTTTGATGTTTTAAAATTATTTTGAATTTTTTTAATGGTAAACTCTTTGAGGTAATCTTAAGTTCTTCGGATTATAGTGTCCTTTTTTATTTTCTTCACACCCTTCTTCTGACTTTTCTGTTGTAAAGACCTGAATAATTCCTGATACAGCTAGTTAGTTTATGCTTTTAAAAAGAGCGAGACTCTATCTGCTTATGAACTTGATAGCTTCACTAAAGAGAAGGGGGGAATCTCAATTTTTACCTCTCTATATACATGGGTAAGGGAGGTAATGTTTTCGGTTCAAAAATTTGATAGTGAATTATCAGGGAATAAGCAAGTATTGTGGTTCCCACTACACATTTTTACTATTTTTACTATTTTTACAATGATATCTGTGTGTGACATTTTCATCCACAATAATTCTTACATGAAACTTACAAAAATTTCTAGTTTCCATATTTAAGCTTAACCAGAAGGAGTAGTTTAAAGGAAGCCCATAGTAGTTTTTAATGAAAAACTTGTGTTAAAATATAATCCAAAACTTTTCAATTTTAATGTTAAAACCATTATATGAATGGGAACAACATATCAGATTTTGGCTAAAATAGTTAAACCCCAAGTGACACTTTACTTGAAACTCTGATGGAACTTTCAGAAAAAATTATATCAGATAAAACTTGTTAAATTTTGTATTTGAAGTAGTTATATGATTGAGAACAACATATCACATTTACAAGCATTAAATGTATTCTTGGAATTATGCTAAATGCACTGAGAATAAACTCATTATGAAGGCACTCAGGTTATGAATCAATTAAATGTATTAGCCTCAATCTTCAATTCTGTGATTGTTTCATTTTTGTGTCAAATCATTTTTCAAAAAAAGGATGCAGTCACCAAATGTTAGCACTGTATTATTTTATATGCTTCAATTCAAAGATATAATACAGTAATATTTTAAAGAAATAATACAACTAATATAAATATAGTGCATATAAAAAGAAATGTATGGTAACACTCTTTCAAGAATTCTAAAGATAATGCTGCTGTAAAAAATTTTGGAATTATTAAGTTATATATTTGGGAATCCAAAACACTATATGACCTGATGATATGCTACGACCAGTGCAATATTTCCATTCAAAGCATGGAAACTGATGTGTACATGAGCACGTATAATTATCATTATCCATTCTATAGGAGAGGAGAATGAGTTACATTTAAAATTAACATTGAACCACAAAATGTATAAACAAATTAGATTTTTATTTCGAGACATGATAAACCAGAAATGATAATTTACTTAAAGCTTATTGCTGTTCTCCCAATTGTGTTTTAAGACATGAAATTGGTGAGAGATCATATGCTGTCCAAATATATATATATTTTTATCTTAGAAATGAATGAAAACAATGACTATGGACTACAAATTATGGTAGAGCTATCATATAAATCTTTATATATATAAGAGATTTAAAAAAAAAATCTGTAGTGTTCAGCAAGATTATTACCAAGTCTTGATTCAAGTAAAAACACTTTTAGCTTTTCACAGCTTGCAGGCATAAATATAATCTGTAAGTAATATAGTACAATTTAATGTAGTATAATAATAAAAATAGTGATTTTTTTGAATGAATAAATTCTGAGATCTAAGAGTTCAGTCACATTTTAAAACTTCTTGGGTTTAGAATTACCCAATATAGAATAGGTTCCTCTTTCTATACAATATCTTTATTTCCACATTCCTTTTTCCATATTTTAATAATTTTTCTGATGATATGCTGTGAAGAGCTTGTAATATTAATACTAAAAAGTTCAGAGATCTATTGCAAAAGTTAAAGATAAATCAAAGCAAGAATGCCACAAGTTATATTAAAAGATTCTGTTGTTCCACCTACAGAGTAAAAATTAAAGCAGATGGCAGTTCGTGTTTTTCTGTTCTTTGCATAGCAAAAAGGAGACATGTTGTGTTTGTTGACTGTAAAATTATTAAATAATTTCCATTTGGCATTAGGAAGAGATATTTCGTGATTGTAAGAAGAAACAAAACATAATATTTCTCTTAACTATGCAGAAAATGTTATGTTTGAATGATGTGAAAATTTCATGATAGCTGTAGCGCTGGAATATAATCAGAAATATATTTCGTTCTCAAATACAGTTCACTTCCATTAAGTATTGTTTCAACATAAATAATAAATTCAGTTTTCTTACGAGTCGCATTAGTTTTACCATATAATATTAAAAATTAAAATAAGTAATTAAAAAGTGAAGCATAAAAATTTAATTGTATTTAAATATAAGATGAATTTCTTCTAAAAATTCATTTTATATTAAAAATAATACATAGTGCAGAAAATTAATAAAAATATAAGTTTGATAATCCAGAAGCATCCAGATGCATATGAATGACTAAGGAGCCAAAATTAGAGAATTGCACTATTAAAGATGATACATGATTTAACAGTAATTTATTGATTTCTGGTACCATCATTTTATTATTTCCTTACCACAGGGTTTCCAACCTTTCTGTTCCTAAGAGTGCATTCTAGAATATCTGTTAAACATTGGGCACCATGTACTTTTTCAAGGTTAATTTATAGTTGGCTAGAGTTAATAATGCATGCAGATAAAAAAAAAAAAAAAAGAGAGAGATCAGTCACATTTTGCTTTGTGCTAGTATACAATTTCTATTTCATTAAACTCTCACATAGAATTTTATTAAAAACTGAAACACTTTTATTGTGATCGCACAGCGGATGCCCGCATACATAAGGTTGCGAACCCCTGCCTTACTATTTAGATAGATCTACCATGATTATTTTAAGCCAGTTGTTTTGTATGGATAGTTGATAGCATTTAAATACATATAATAATAAGTCAGTATTTTCTTTTTAAGGTGAAATTTTTTTCTTTAGAAAATCAAAATTCACCTAATCGCAACAAAGAAAGTATTAAATGCAAAATAAGTTATAATAGTTTAATGGTATATATTGTTTCATTTAGTTCTCAGCTGAGCAACTTACAAAGACAGACTACGTGTGAATTAGAAGGTGACTGCTGCGAAAGTGAAATTTTGAATAAATTAAGTCATTTATGTAAGTAATTGCTTTCTATGTGTGATTAACATATATGTTTTGACATATTTTTTTATTAAATTACACAAGCATGTTGTTTATTTTTGAGAGAAAATTTTGCTATTTTTCTGTTAATGGAGTGCCATATACCATTGGATCTAAGTAGATAGTGGCAACCCTGTCGGCATATAAAGCTTGATGAAAAGGAGAATTATTTTTCATTAAATGAATATAGTATATGTAATGTTTAATACATGCAATGCAAAATTTGCGAAATGCTGTGATTTTTTTTTTTTTTTTTTAAGTGAAAAACATAGCTGTGTACATGAGGAGAACAGATGTTGTTATACATACAGCATTCTGTTTTTGCTTAAAAAATTAGAGGAATTGTGCAAATCTGGTATTACGTACAGCTTCAGCATTGCACATATTAAACATTTTATATATTATCATTGCTTAACTGTTTACAATATGATATAAATAGACTACCACATTTGACAACTGCCTCTCCATTAACAGAAAAGTAGCAAAATTTTTGTCAGGAAACTTATTAAAAGGATTTATGTATACTTTTTTTTTTTTTAAGTTTCTAAATTGTTTTGGATCTGAATTAATTTTGGAGCCATTTTTTCAAAAATTTATTGTTTGTCAGGGGGAAAAAAAAAGTTGCAACTTAGTCTTGGAAGTAATATCTGTCATGTTTACTGTAGGTACTGGATAAGCGCTTCAAAAAAAAAAAAAAAAAGAAAAGAAAAAAAGAAAGATGGTACTGTTTTATTTAGCTAATATTAGTACGTTTTACCAATTTATGAGATGCTTTAAAATGTATATGGACCAAATGATGTAGAGTGAATGAAAGAAATGGTCATCTGTAGTTTTTAGACCTATCAAATAAGCTACATAAAGGAGAATTTCCTGCCTCAAGTCTTCGTGATTTTGCCTTATATTATTGTGTTGAAGTATCATCTACTGAGTTTCATTACTGAAGAACTGTCCTTTTCTTTAGGATGCTTCAATTGTTCTTTACAATGCTTAGCAATATAATTTTCACCAGATTTAAATATAATCTTATTAAATTCACAGTATAATATATTTCTCATGGTTTATTAAATGCACAAAAACACTTCTGTGAAATGGTCGTTTTAGATAGAGTTATAGAAGAGTCCTGTATAGTGTAACAAGTACTTATTAACAGGTTTAAGTTACACACGGACATTGCATTTAACTTTAAGAAAATTACAGAGCAAGAGTCTGGTACAACCTATCAAGTGGGACACTTGGCTTTTACTGAAGTACTTCTCTGGCTACTCACCAGAGGGCAGCCTTTTTGTCGCAGTTAGTCCAACAGTTTATGTTAAGGGATTGGTTACAAACTCCCCCTCTGGCTCCACTGACATCCCGGCAAGGAGACAGAACTGGAGGATTTGGGAGCTATTGTAACATTGTCTCTAGTCTCAGGTTTTTTTTTTTTTTTTTTTTTTTTTTTTATTATTATTATTATTTCCTGGGCATGGGGACCTCTCTTTGAAGCACTGTCCGGAACCACAAGTTCTTGATTATTTCGGGAATGCAAAGTAACTTTTGGCGGTCTACCTTTCTTCCTAAGCGGAACAATGGGAGAAGTGGACAAGTCTTTGAAGGGTGTTAGTGCAGACGTATGATACGTTCCTAACGGTTCTGATGGTTTATGAAAGCTTGAAATGACATAGGAAGTAGGTGATTTCTGTGTCATTACCAAGTGTGGACTGTCACGCTTTGGTATGAACTTTGAAGTCTTTTTGTTTTTTGCATTCCTAATGGGATGTAAATTGACCCATAACTTATCACCTGGTGAATAAAACACTTGTTGCCTTCCTTTATCATATTGCTTTTTACGTTGATCTTGCTTTATTTCGATACGCTCTCGTATGTGCTTTGTAATAGTTGCGAATCGTTTAAGATAAGGGGTGATTTCAGGAACAAAGTTATCATTTTCAACCACAACTTTGAAATTGGGAACAACGTCGTCGACAGTCCTCAGCTCTTTTCCAAACATTAGGAATGCTGGTATATGGCCTGTAGTGTCACAGACGGCCATATTCATAGCGAAGCGAATAACTGGGAGTTTTGAATGCCAGTTGTCATGCGCATCTCCTACTAGGATTGCAAGATGAGGTTTTAAGTCTATTTTTCCGTTCCACAGGATTTGACTGAGGAAAGTAAACTGGTATCAAGTTTTGACTTATTTAATGTGCAGCAAACTTGTCGCATGACTGCACTGATAAACTGGGCTCCGTTATCGCTAATGATTCTTCGTGGGATACCATGCCGCATGAATGCTTCTTCGATGGGGGTTATAGCGCAGTCGCGTGCTGTAGCTTGAGAAAGAGGAAATAATTCAACCCATCGCGTAGCTCAGTCTTTGACAATGAAGATCTATTGTTTTCCAGTGTGAGTTTTTGGCAGTAGTCCAAACAAATCAATAGGTATGATCTCAAGACATTGAGAATAGACAGGGGTTCTTAGCATTCCAGCTGGCTTTTGTAATGATTGCATTCAGAACAGCTTTTCACATAGTCGGATATATACTTTTTCATACCAGTCCAATAATAGCGTCTGGCAATTCGTTCGAATGTTCCTTCCTCTCCATAATGTCCAGCTATTGGGTCATCATGGTGCTTTTGCATGATGGATTCACGCTCGGCAGTTGCAATTACTAACTGGGCCTCTTCTGAATCAGAGTCAGGAACATCTCGGTAGAGAACACCTTGACCCATTAAGAATCCCTGTTCAGTGCAGTTGGCACATTCTTCAGTTTTCTGAGTGGATTTGAAAATTTCTATAATCTTTCTTAAGTTTTCATCTTTAAGTTGAGATTCACGCATGTCTTTTGGACTTCTTGTGGGCATGTCCACTTCAGATATATTTGAAATCTCGCAAGGTGAAACTTCATGTTCGGAGCTTGGAAAGGACAGCATGTCAGGGATGATGTTTGCCTTTTCAGGAATGTATTGTACTTTTAGGTTGAAAGACTTGATTTCAAGCGCCCATCTAGCAAGTCTTCCGGTTGGAGGCTTAAGGTTCAAAAGCCATTTCAAAAGTTGATGATCGAATGCTATAGTTAATTCTGATTCTTCGACATAACCACGAAATTTCTTCAGTGCCCAGACTACAGCGAGGGCTTCTCGTTCAGTCATCGAATAGTTTCGCTCAGAGAAAGCAGTCGGCGGGCATATTCGATAGGGTGCTCTTTAGACCCTTCCCCTTGAAGAAAAGCGGCTCCAAGAGCATAATTGCTTGCATCTGTTCGAAGAATATACGGTTGAGGTCCATTTGCTTGCTTCAACACAGGAAATGTTATGAGGCAGTTTTGTAAAGTTTCAAATGCTTTTTGCTGGTTGAAACCCCATTCCCATTGGACTTTCTTCTTTGTCAAATCACTAAGAGGTCTTGATATGTCCGCGAAGTTTTGTGTGTATCGTCTAAACCAAGAACACGTTTGAAGGAAGGATTGGAGTTCCTTGATGTTTTGGAGAGGTAGAATTCTCTGGATCGATTCCTTTTTGTGTAATCCAAAATCCCAAGTATTTGACACGAGAAGAAGCAAAGTGGCACTTCTCACTGTTTGCGTACAGTTTGAAGAGCAAAAGCCTTTTGAAAACAGCTTTGAGATTGGAAAAGGGTTTCTCAAATGATTCTGACAACACGATTATGTCGTCCAGATAGGTGAGGGTTAGGATGTCCTCAAGTCCATTGTGAAAACGGTCTATCCATCTCTGGAATGATGCTGGGGTATTCTGAAGACCAAAGGGCATTCGTAAGAAACGATATGCTCCGAAGGGACACACAAATGCTGTCTTGTCTTGATCAGCAGTATGAACCTTCACTTGGTGATAACCTGCACGAAGATCAAGGTTTGACATGAAAGGAGTAGGTTTTTCCTCATGTACCAGGTCATCCATTCTCGGAAGTGGGTAGGAATCTGGAACTGTAATCGCATTCAATTTCTGGTAATCATGCAAAGGCACACTGTTCCATTAGGTTTCGGTATTAAAACAACTGGGGATGCATAAGGGGATTTGCATTCTTCAATTATTCGTTCAGATAAGAGCTTGTCAATTTCTTGCTTTAAGATTACTTTCTTAGCAGGGTTCATTCCGTATGGTGGTACAGCTACTGGGGGATGGTTTTCAGTTTTAATTCAATGTTCTATGAAAGGTGTTGCTTCTCCCCCTGGTTTTAAGATAGTTGAATATTGACTCAATAATTCATTTAATTGTGATCTTTGATGAGCCGATAGATGTTGTCCTTCACATTCTCTTAACAGTACAGTGTCAACTTCCAACGTGCATTCAGTTTGCTCATTGGGCTCAAAATCATCGTCAATAAACTTAAACTTTTGCTGCATATTATCATGGTAAAACCAACAATGATTTTGCAGATCTAAAACAATTCCAGCTCTTCTAAGAAAATCCAATTTTAAAAGTGTCCTGTTACCCTTTGCTGAGGGAAGCGCAAATAAAGTTATGCGGAATGATCTTCTTTCAATGTGAATGTCTTACCTGGGTCATGTGGACCTCTTCGTCCCTTTGAATACCATTGGCAAGAGTGACCTTCGTAGTAGTTTTCTTAAATTATGATCCTTGTTCTTTCAAGAGATTATATAATGTATCTCCCGCTATAGTGTGAGTAGCACCAGTATCAGCACAGATAATTCCCATAAATCCGTTCATTTTTACTCTTAAAAGAGTCATGTGAGGTGTCTCTACAGACACTGTATGTAAGTTTATTGCTTTGAAGTCGGCTGATTCTTGAGCAGGTTGGACACAGCCTTAACGACGTCTCATTTTCCACAACCATAAAAATTAACAGATGGTCGATCTTCTCTCATGCCAGAATACCTTGTTGCTGAATTTGTAACAATTTGAGGGTTATTTTTATAATTTTTAAGACCACTACGATGAGACAGCTTTGGAGTGTTATTACTGATGTTTCAACTCCTGATGTTTTTAGCTTCTTTATATAAATCTAATTTATCAGCC